GAGGAGGGTAGAGAGAATAGTGCAACAATGAATGAGTGGAAGCCCAAAATCTCTGTAAATGTTTATGAAAATTAATAAAATATAATTATAGGGGAAAAAAAAGAATACTGTAATAAACCTATAAGAAAGATAAAATGAGTCCTGTTATTCTCATTTTACAGATAAGGAAAAGTTTTTTTACATTTTTAAGGAAAGTGCTGATAAAATTCAAATTTTAAGTGGCAGAGGTTCCATATATTTAATTCCAAAACCTTTAATATCTAACAAAATTCACTATCCTTCAGATGGTGCAGATGGTGCAGAATAGGGCCACTTTCAGACCTGCTGTTCATAAAGTCGCTATGAGCCGTCAACTGAATGGCACCTAATATCATCATCGTTCACTAGTTCAGAGATACTCTGTAATACTACTACCGAAACTATAAAATATGGCTGAAGAATACAAGAGTCCAAACACTGACATATTTATTCTCTCTATAAAAATATCACCAAAAAGAGAGAACATAAACGCTAGAAAAGAGCTTTAAGTGTAAATTAATGGATGTACGCTAAACAATAAAACCAAACAAAATGTTTTTTATAGACAAGGAGCCTTGGTTCCATGATGGTTAAAGGACTCAGCTGCTAACTCTAAGGTTGGCAGTTCGAACCTATCCACTACTGAGGGGAGATCAATGTGGCAGTATGTCTTTAAGTTTCCTTAAAGATTTACAGCCTTGGAAACCATATGGGGCAGTTCTACTCTGCAGAGATGATGTAAGTCAGAAACAACTTGAAAGTGATGAGTTCTTAAAAGTGGTAAAACTAATAAGAAAAGATAAAAATCACTACAGAATTAACATTACAAAAGTCAGGATAGTAATTATCCTTGAGGGAACAGAAATATATCAGAAAAAAGAGAGAGAAAGATCTCATACAGAGACTTGTGTATTCCAACAATGAATGTTCTTGTTTTTAATTGTGATAGTGTTCCTCAAAATTATTGATAAAGTGTTTATTTATATTTAACAACATTGAAAAAGAAACAAATTTATACAGAGAGAGACATTCAACTTTTTAAAGACTAATAAAAACGACAGGGGCATCAGTTTTGGGGCCCTTTGATCACAGCAGACACAGAGTCGTAGAGTATCTAATTCTGCAACTTGCTTACAGATGCTATTCCCATAAGCTTGGCCTAGAATATATTGTATACTTTCTCAGTTCTTTCAATTATTTGAGGAGAAAATTCAATTTAAGCAATACAGTGTAGATTCTATTTTCTACTAAAAAATCTATGTGAATGAAGGGAAACTTCAGAAAGCTGCTCTGGCAAGAGCTCTGAAGTATATTCTGAAATCCAGTTTACATATACTATACAAGTAATTCAACTGTTTACAAAATATACATAAAACAAGGAAAAAAGAACTAAAAACCAGAAGTAAATTCAAAGAAACAAACATCACTGTAATTAGGTGCCATCAAGTCAACTGCAACTCACAGCAATCTCATGAACCTTGCTCTATGAAGCTTGCCCTATACTGTTCCACTCTAATGATCTTCAACATGCTCAAGACCACTGCTGCATTCACTGTGTCAATCCAATCCATCTTAAGGTTCTTCCTCTCACTGTCTATCTTTCCCATCATGATGTCTCTTCCAAGGTCTAGTCCTTCCTGACAACATTCTCAATGTTATGTGAGACCAAGTTTAATTATCCTTGCCTCTCAGGAGCACCCTGGTTGCATTTCCTCCAATACAGATTTATTGGTTCTTTTGATAGTCCACGTGTTATTAAGACTCTTCAAAGAAAACACAACAGCTCACAAGTACCTATTCTTGCTCTCCTTAGTCTTTAAACTGACATCCTGGCTCTTTAACACTTTAAAGAGGTCCGTGCCAGCATATTTCCCAATGTAATACATATTTTGATTTGACAACTGCTACCGTGGGTGTTGACTGTGGATTAAAGTAAAGTGAAATCATTGATACCAATCTTTTCTCCATCTATTGCCTATTAGTCTAGTGGTGAAAATTTTGTTTGATGTTGATAAGTAATCCATAGTGAAGGCTGCAGCATTTGATTTTGACTTTCTGCACACAAGGTTGTATCATCTGCATAACGAAGGTTGTTGATGAGTCTTAGTGTAATCTTGATAGTCCTATTTCTGGTAGGCACGTTTCTTCTTTCCTCTTCACCAAGAGCATAACTAAAATGCATCCATTTTTAAGTCTTCCTTCTTTACTGTGCATTGTTGTTGTTGTTATGCGCCATCAAGTGGCGTGCGATTCATAGTGACCCTATCTAAAACAGCCCTAAACTCTGCTCTGTCCTGTGCCAATCGCACTGTCTCTGACACACCCATCCTGAATACCCCAGTCACTGAATCAATCCACCTCATAGAGGGCCTCCCCCCCCGCCCCGGCCCCCCAACCCCCCAAACATGATGTCCCTCTCCAAGGACTAGTCCCTCCTTACAACATGTCCAAAGTATGTTAGACAGAGCCTTGGAATCCTTGCCTCCAAGAAGCCGCTCAGTTTGACCCTTTCCAGGATGAATCTGTTTTCCTAGCAGTCCACGGTACTCTCAATACTCTTCTCCAGCACCAAAGTTCAAAGGCATCAATTCTCCTTCTATCCTCCTTAGTCATTATTCAACTCTCTGATGCATGACAAGTGATAGCAAAGACAATGGCCTGTATCAGACACACCTTAGTCTCCAAAGAGACACCATTGCTCTTCAGTACTTTTGAGAGGTCCCTAACAGCAGACTTTCCCATGGCAATACGCCTTTTAATTTCCTGGCTACTGGTGCCAAGAGTGTTGACTGTGGAGGCAAGCAAACTAAAGCTGTGTACAATCTCAATCTCTTCACCATCCATCCTGATGCTGCCAATTGGTCCAGTGGTGAGAATCTCTGTCTTCTTGACATTGAGCCTCAATCCATATTGGAGGCTGCAGTCTTTGACCCTTTACAGCAAGCGCTTTAGGTCCTCCTCAGTTTCAGCAAGCAGGGTTGTGTCATCTGGATAAATGCAGACTGTGCATATTTCTCACAAATATGAGGTGATGGATAATGTATGGCCGGTGTCAGGCACGACTTAATCCTTGAAGTTACAATTTTACTTTGTAATATACCACCCAAGTCTTTCCAGTTGATGTTGTTAGGTGCTATCAAGTTGAGTATGACTCAGTGACCCTATAAACCACCAATATGAACAATGTCCTATTCTGTGCTATCCTCACAATCTCGAACACACTCAAGCCCATTGCCATAGTAACCAACGTAAACCCACCTGGTTGAGGTCGTCCTCTCTTTTGCCACACCTTACCTCCCCAAGAATGGTGTCCCTCTCCAAGGATTAGAACCTCTCCAACAACATGCCCAAAGTATCAGAGATGAAGCTTCATCATTTTTGCCTTTGAGGAGCACTCTGGCTACATGTTTTCCAAGACACGTCTGTTTGTGCCTTTGGTAGCAAATGGGATATTTAGCAGTAAAACATTTTATTTCTCTATTGCTGATTCCATGTGTGCTAACTGAAGAAAGAAATAAAATTAAATTCCTTACAATTTCATTCCTTGTGTTTACTACAATGTTGCTCATTACAGCTGTTAAGGAGTCCTTCTGCAATCTTCAGTAATTACCAACTAGTCAAAGGATTTAATCATGACATACATCCTACCTGATTTTAAACTATGCTCTATACT